GGGTTTAGGGTTTAGGGTTTGGGGTTTAGAGCTTAGGGTTTAGGGTTTAGGGGATCATAACTTGCTTTTCGGGCTATACCTACAACATTGACTGAGCCGAGCGACACGCAGATAGAGCGGAAAACCCGCGATGATCTTGCCTGGGCTTGGGGGTTGTCTCAGACTCAGCACCTGTAAAGAACTTGACGAGTTCAGGGGTTGAGGGTTTAGGGTTTAGGGTGGAGCCAACTTTGTTTGATCCCGACTTCTCATGCTCTTCCCGCCCTCTCAAATCTGAAGAGTCTGCCTTTCTGCATTCTGGGACAGGCTCGGCAAGGCCCATAATTTTGTCACAACAACTATTGCCAACACTACCTTTTGTTCTGACATCCTAGGTTTCGGTTAAGGAACTTGCACTAAGTTGCCAGACAACCACATGCCCTTTTGAGGGCAACTCAATTGAATTTACCCGTACCAGCAACCCTGTTGAATGCAACAAGCGAAAGCAAGCCAGGGATGAATAAGGTGCTAAAGAAGCCCTAAACCCTAAACCCTAAACCCTAAACCCTAAACCCTAAACCCTAAACCCCACACCCGAAACCCCACAAAGACGAACACCACCTCGGAAGCGCCTGGACGTTGAAGCCTTGCCTTTGGAAAACTTTGGGGGCCCTTGCTTATGGGCATCTTAAGGGAGGGGGGTTCATGTTTAGGGTTTAGGGTTTAGGGTTTAGGGTTTAGGGTTCAGGGTTTAGAGTTTAGTGGGGAGCCTTAAGGGAGTAGTAGGGAGTATTAAGAACCCTATATGTAAAAACCAGAACTCCTTGCGAGCAAAAGAACGACCCAGAAACCACAACTCTAAACCCAAAAACCCTAAAACCCTCAAACCCTGAAACCCAAGAACCCTAAAACCTTAAACCTAAAACCCTCAAACCCTCAAACCCTGAAACCCAAGAACCCTAAAACCTTAAAACCCTACACCCAAAAACCCTCAAACCCTCAAACCCAGGAACCCAAGAACCCTAAAACCTTAAAACCCTACACCTGTCTTCGCAGCTGGGCCACTGCCATCCGGTGAAAAGCACAGGCCTCGAAGGTCAAGGTTTAGGGTTTAGGGTTTAGGGTTTAGGGTTTAGGGTTTAGGGTTTAGGGTTTAGGGTTTAGGGTTTAGGGTTTAGGGTTTAGGGTTTAGGGTTTAGGGTTTAGGGTTTAGGGTTTAGGGTTTGGGGTTTAGGGTTTAGGGTTTAGGGTTTAGGGTTTAGGGTTCAGGGTTTAGGGTCTAGGGTTTAGGCTTTAGGGTTTAGGGTTGCTGTCGAGGAGTGCGGATTGAACTATCAGAATACGCCAATCATACTGGACAACTGGTCAGTACACACACACACACACACACATATATATATATATATGTATATATATGTGTATACTGGCCAGTGCCATCGTTATATCGCTCCTTCGAAAATGCAACACCGTTGATCTTGCAGCATAGCCGGTGTAACTGGCAGTGATACAAGCCCCTCATGGGCCATCAGGAGCATGAGCCGCAGATTCTACTCTGCAGACACGACTTATCCCGAAAAGTTTAGGGAATTCAGGGTCAAATTAAGGTCCAGGCCACTTAGGGTTGAATTAACTAAGGTTTAGGGTACTTCGGATTAAACTTGGACTCATGCAGGGCTTGGGGCTGTAAATCCTACAGCCTCCGAACCATCAGCTCCAAGGGATATGTGATATAAGGAGGACACCTCGAAGAGACCCGTAATCTTATTCCCCGATAGAACCCCCCGAAAAATACCGCACGTAGTCCCTGTGTGCCTAAGCAGTCCCCTGACAGCTTGAGATTCCACCAACTTGCTGCCCAGGCGCTGTTCGCGTGGCAGACCTCTGAGCTGAGTGGGACACACCGGGCTGGCCAGCTCTCGGAAAAAAATGGATCCTTTCTTGGTAGCCCAGCAACCATCACCCAGTTTTGAGTTGCTTACTTTAGAAGGGAACCTAGTACCAACAAAAAGGAGAAAGGGTACCATTGGGCTACCAAGCTTTTGTGGGGTTCCTACTATACACATTTAACACGGCACCTTATACGCCTTATGTTTAGGGCATCCCTACATGAAACCAAAATCTTCGAGCCCCCACGCCAGCTTGTTTCAAGGTGCATCCACGCACGCATTCTTGGACGCCTTGTTCTTTCGGAGCCTTCGGGCCTACGTATCACACGCAGGAATCCCTCAAACCTAGAACCCCTAAATCCGGAAAACCGAAACCCCTTTTAGGGTTTAGGGTTTAGGGTTTAGGGTTTAGGGTTTAGGGTTTAGGGTTTAGGGTTTAGGGTTTAGGGTTTAGGGTTTAGGGTTTAGGGAGCCCCAGCCTCATCCACGTGGTTGAAGGGGCGGTAGGTGTTCCGCAGGGCGCCAGTCAAGGCATCCCGGAGGTGGATCGGATGATCCTGCGCGCTGAGAGCAACCCTAAACCCTAAACCCTAAACCCTAAACCCTAAACCCTAAACCCTAAACCCTAAACCCTAAACCCTAAACCCTAAACCCTAAACCCTAAACCCTAAACCCTAAACCCTAAACAAGAAGGGCGAAGCCCTTGGCGAACCTGGAGTCCTAATCCCCTGAACCCTAAACCCTTGCACCCTAAACCCTTGAACCCTAAACCCTGAAACCCTTACACTCTAAACCCCTTTGAAGGTAGACCCCGTAAATCCTAAACACTACACCCTAAACCCTTTCCAGCACCCTCGTGGCTTGTGCAGGTTGCCTCAGGGATATGTTTTCTTGGGGCTGAAGCGGCGGTTTAGGTTCGAGGGTCTAGGGTTTAAGGTTTAGGGGGTTTCTGCCTGATGATGCCGAGTTTGGGTGCTCTTGAATTTCAGGGTCGATGAAGGCGAAACCCCAAAAGCCCAGGGTTCGGGTTTACGGTTTGGGATTCGGGTTTAGGGGTGCAATTCCCGGACGTGCTTGCGGCCAAGGTTTCTGATACGAACCTTGAACCTTGCGGGGGGCGGGGGGGTGATCAAGGAGATCAGTCAGCAAAGAGCACAATCACAGGGTGTCCGGCTTTACTTTCTGCTTGGGGTACCAAAGCGAGACAGCTACACAATCACTTGGAGGACAGTGTATCACCTCGGTCGTGAAAGGATGGGGCCACATGATTGCCTTGGCAACGGCCCGAACCTCGAAAATCTCAACATTCCCTAAACCCTAAACCCTAAACCCTAAATCCTAAACCCTAAACCCTAAACCCTAAACCCTAAACCTTAAACCCTAAACCCTAAACCCTAAACCCTAACCCTAAGCCCTAAATCCGATACCGCAGTTCAGTAGAATGAGTCCTGGCTGCTCGTAATGAAGCAGCATGATGCGGGGAATTCCCTGGCAGGAGTCGTTGCGGAATGGGGTGCAGTAACCCCTAAACCCCTAAACCCTGAAAACCAAGAAAGCCCTCAGCCCAAAATACCCCAAAACGGTTTAGGGTTTAGGGTTTAGGGTTTAGGGTTTAGGGTTCAGGGTTTAGGGTTTAGGGTTTAGGGCTGAGTTAGGCGAAAAACCCGTGGACCATGTCTCGGTGTAGGAACAGATTTAGGGTTTAGGCCTTTTGGGGCTTTGGGCGCTGTTGTAATGGCTTCAAGGTTGTATAAGGGGAACCCGCCCTCTGTTGATGTTGGGGTGTAGCGTGTTTAGGGTGTTTAGAGTGGTAAACACTACAACCCTAGGCCCGAAACCCGAAACCCGAAACCCTAAACCCTAAACTATGAAAGCAAATCCCCAAACCGCAAAAACCCTAAATTTAGGGATTCCTAAAATCCCCTGAGCTTGGGGTTTAGGGTTTAGGGTTTAGGGTTTAGAATTTAGGGTTTAGGGTTTAGGGCGTACACTTGGCAAACCTTGTGGATCCGTTCCCTCCCCTGTAGGGAGCTTGCATGCCCTTCGAGCCAAGCAGGAACTGGAAGGTACAGACTCTGGCTGCCTCCACCTTGCCTTCTTGAGCCCATAGCCCTAAGCCCTAAGCCCTAAGCCCTAAACCCTAAACTCTAAACCCCTAAACCCTACATCCTTTGTTATGGAACCAGGAACTCTAAGGCCCGAAGCACTTGCTCAGGCGTCCACCAGCTGAAGCTGGGGAAGAAACAGAAGTCCAGGACCTGGGCGCAACAGCTGTCTGTAAATGATTGAAAGAGAACCCTTGCGTTCATACCCTACGCTTACATTGCTGAGACTTTGAAGGCTCATGTTACAATTTTAAACAGTCATGTTAAAATAACTTGAGGAAAGGAAACCGAAGAGAAAGCAAACCACACTGCGAAAACATCCACCTCGAAACCCTGCCCGGAGATCCCAGAAACTCGTTCGAAGTTTAATGCAACTTGTAGGTTTGCAGAAACATGTTAGTTGGTGGCCATGTTGTTTTATAGTCGGCCCCTAAACAATAACCCCAATCCTAAAATTTTCTCGACTCTGACGTAGCCCCCACACCCCACCATCCCTTAAGCAGCCGGTAAAATCATCCCAAAAACTCAAAAAAGCCCCAACCCGGTCTTATGCACCACATAGTAATAACAACGCTCACAGTCTAAGCCCCCCCAGCATAGCCCGTAACCCCCAAACCCAACAAAAGTGCCGTCTCCCGGGCCGCAAACGGGACCGCCCTCCGCGGCAGAGGCGTAGGAGGTCAGAGGGCTCCCTGGCTCCACATTTGATTAAGTCTGGGTCGCGGAGTATCCAGGAATGCAAAGGATTCAGGGTTTAGGGTTAGGGTTCATGGTTCAGGGTTCAGGGTTCAGGGTTCAGGGATTAGGGTTTAGGGCTTACTAGGGTTCACAAGGGAGCCTAATCAGGAACATGGGGCACTCTGGGTCCTAGTGGTGCTTTTGGTATATATGTATATATATATATAGTGTCACTCCCCCCCCCCCCCCCCCCGACTTCACTCGAAGTTTCCCACCACCAGGAACCTTTAGATTGAAGACTTTGGTGAAGCGCGGCTTCATTCAGATAGCCTGTGTTGCAAACGAAGAAACTTCACAAAATCTCGCGCATGTAAATATATGCTGTCATGTTTATCCACTTAAGCTTTCGAGACACCTTTCCGTTGATGTAGACACGCTTCTTCTTGCGAACGACGTTGCAGTGAAGCATGCCCGGAATGCGTAGGTTGTATGCGCGGGCAGCGTCAGTATGAAGGACTACTTTCCGAGTCTGCAGAAGAGACACTGCGACTTTGCACCAGGTATTCTTCTTGATGGGGCCCGGACCAGGTGATCTTGTTTGGCTCAGAGGAGGTGTCAGCCGAAAGAGTCGCAATGAGGAGGGCCTTCCACGCTCCACGACGCCGCACCACAGCTCCCATTTCAATATCTCACCCGTCCCATCTTCCACCAAAGCCTTCCCGAGATCCACCTCATCAGCTTCGATATCAACCCACAAAGATCCCTTGGGATTCCCGTATGTGGTGGACTTCTCTTGGCGCTCCACATCGCGGGCCTGGCTACCTCTAGGTTTGTAGAGGTGGCAGACACTCCGGCAATTGTGGCGGAGAGCGGGTGGCTGTTGCCGGCACCTCCGAAGAAGATCGGATGGCAGGCCTGGACGAAACGTTGGGGCTTGCAGCACCGGCACCGGTAGAGCCATGTGCCGCTGGAAGCGTCCCCGACCACAGTGAGGACAGGTGTGCCCACACCACTTGCGAAGGATGCTTCTTTGGCCAAGACGCGAATGAAGTTCAAAGTGGACATGCTCATGAACTTGGGGATGGAGTGGCCCCAGCGTTGTCGATGGAGACGATTCTTGCTGGTGGCTTGGCCGTGTCGAACATATGGGACCGGCGCGGGTATCTGCTTGGTGACCGGTTTTTTGAAGCGAGATCTTGCTTCACTGAGCAGTCGGATCTACAAACACTTTTGACTGCCACTGGAGCCTCGACGAAATCATGTATCGCAGATGTGTGCATGGAAAACTTGTGTCTGCGTGTGTTTGCGAAGCAGAGATGCAGCTGTTCTGTGCAGAAGCAAGTGCGACTGAGACTCCACTGAGCTTTTTCTTGCGTGGTATTCGGTCAAAATCTTCGCGATCCTGCTGAGCGACGTGACATTCAAAATGCTCCTTGAAGGACACCGTGAGTATGTGAGATAGATATCATGTGCATTTATCTAAGCAGCTTTATCAAAGAGACTACAATTAAATTTAGGAAAACATGTGTTCGCAGATACGATACGTATATGCAGATATGAGAAAAGTCCCCTCTGACATTCAATACGGTGCACTTTGCATCGTACGCGTGCTAGGTTCAAGAAAATCAGTTGTTGAAATCCTCGACATCCATTTCATCGCCGTCCTCCTCGACGCGCTCATTGTCCGTAGACTCCTTCTCTAAACACGCAGCAATGCAGTGTCACAGGGGCGTGTGTACGCACACACATGAACATGCAAGTCGCACAAGCACGGTGGTTTTGGCTCTAAGGGTTGACGATAGAAGTGCTTGCTTGTAAACCTATAGAAGAAAAGGAATGTCTATGGCAAGTGGTTGTTCAAATGAGTCAAGGGCCCGCAACGTCCTCGGATCGTCCCGGCCCCGGCATGGCAAACGGGAAGGTCCAAGACCACCTCCGTCGCGGCCTCGCCGCAGCCCGGGAACATGTCCGGGCAGCTCCTTTGTAGAAGGGGGGAGGGCCGTATGCCAAGAGTGCACATTGCACACAAGCGCTTGTCAAGTTGAGACCACGACCTGACCAAATGCAACTTGCACAGGGCAATGCATCCAAGGATACACTTCCTGTCCTGACTTGCGAATCCAAACTGAAAAACACGCGAGGAGCACAGCCCAGGCCACCGAAAGCCAGCAGACCATGTGGAAATCGGGAGTGGGGAAGCGCGATTGCGGGAGCCCAAAAGACAAGTGAGAGCAAGTGAGAGCAAGGGTGCGTGAATGAGGTTTGTGACTGAGTGGATGTGTGAATGCTCTTTTTGAGCCTTTGCTTTGCAACTGCCTGAGACGGGAGTTAGCAAGCACCAGAACGCGTGAATGTGTGTGCATGAATGATTGGTGCAACGACTAGACTGAGGGGGAGTGAGTGAGAATGAAAGAGTGGGCGGGAGCGATCAGTACGACGAATCCGAAGACCACGAAGATCATTCGCGATCAGTTCTGAACCCTCCCACCGTCTTGTGAGAAAATGAATTCTGGCCCCTCCTTTTCGGGGCGATAGAAACAATACATATCAACATATCATAAACACCCCTTGCTGAGCCCTTGCTCGTGCCTGTGGCCGCCGCGTCCCTCCTTCGATCTCCGGACTTGTGCAAGGACACGTTTCAAGGGCAGTGGCACCTGCAAGGCACCGGCGTGCATCTTCGGCCGTTGGCGTGCTTTATTTTGTTGAGGCCTTTGGCTCAGTGGACGTCATAGTGCCTTACAGGGATTAATTGGCGCTGCGATACAAGTCTGACAACAAAGCCTTCTACACTTGCCCACACGTGAAGCCCGAGACTCTGGCTGCAAAGCAAAGATGACGTAAGACCGCCGTGCCGCGTCTTGCACACGTAACAGGCTTGAGCCAATAGCCACTGCGCGAGACCTACTGAATCAGGTGAGCTCCATGGTGGGGTTGTGGCCTCGAGGCTTTTGTCAAGGTTCAGTGGGATCGGCCAAACTATGCCAAACTTGACATGCACACTTTGAGCTTGGAGGCTTCTGTGGATTTCAACAACCCAGTGTGAGACACGTTGCTGACAAGTGGCATGAGCGACCGCAAAAAGCGACGCCTGAGGAGCCTCCTGCCACTACAAGATTGCACGAGGCTGCGTCTTGTGACAAACTCCTGCACCAAACAGTGCTGAACTGGTAGCCGCGCCAGTCAAGGCACCTGCAAGCCATGATCCAACCCTCAACTGCGTGAATTCGCAAGAGTGGCTAGGCATGAGCTGTGTATTTCCGTTGGACCCCATCCACCACACGTCTGCTCCAGAGCAAGAACTCACTGCGCTAGCGGCAGTTACCCCGAGCAGTTACCCCGCGCAGCCATCAGTATTCTAAGCCTCCGAAGAGCGAAGCTGAGCTGGGACAACTTCCTGCGAGCCATAAGTCTGGATCCAACCACCATGCACACTTGTCCCTGCAGAAAAGCCACCTGGCCCGGAGCGCAGTTGGCAGAAGTAACTACACCATGCACTACATGTGTGCTGAAGCACTGAAGCACTGAAGCACTGAAGCAGAAGAGGCTGGCGGGTCAACGCAGCAACAGCCGGGTGGTTGGGATTCGGAAGTGGGGAAACGGGAGCTGCTTTGTTATGCTGGGCACGGACTTTCAGAATTGCCGTAACTTGCGCCTGACCCAAAAAGCTGCCCTGCACTTCCCTACCGGAGAGCGCAGCGCTACTAGCTCATGACGCAAGACCAAAGCGTTTAGGGTTTAGCGTTTAGGATTTAGGGTTTAGGGTTTAAGACTTAAGGCTTAGGTTTAGGGTTTAGGGTTCAGGGTTTCGGGTTTGGGGTTTAGGGTTTAGGGTTTAAGGAGGGGAAACACTGCACAGATGCGCTACCTTACCCTCCTAAAACGTATCTCAGCCTTTTCTCGCAACCAAGCGCCTGGGAACAAGTGCAAAACACGCACGCCACAAAGGCCACTCAACGCTTGCGCACTCAGCGATTTGGCTACAAAACACCTTTCTCGTTGAGGTTTAGGAGACACTCGGGCTTCCAGAAATCCTTTCGTTTTCAGGTTGAAGGTGCACAGGGGTTTACAGACAACCTCTCGTTTTCGAGAGAGCTAAGAAACGGAAACATTTGACCGGGGTTTAAACGAAAGCATAAACCGAGTACAAAAGGTATGTGACAATGTATGTACGTGCTCCCCCCCCTCCCCTCCCCCACCCCTCCCCCACCCCCCAAACTCTTCTCACTTTTCCCCGTGCTCCCCTCACCCCCGCGCCCTCTTCCCTTCCGTCCTGTGGTAGGACATTGATGGGGTGAGGGGGTTCTTGGAGATTGCTGGGGTTCTTTAGGCAGGCTGCTATCGTATCAACTTTTTTGGGCAAAGCAGAAGTTGTTCTGGCAGTCGTCTGAAGGTAAGAACCTACTGATGCGCCAAGGCTATTCCATTTGTCAAAGAGGCTTGTTGGACGACGAACCTCCTTGTGCAGTAACCAGGAGGCCAAAAAACTGCAAAATCTTTGCAGTCCCTGTGAATAAGTTCAGGGCACTGCAGGAAGTTCTTGCTGTTGGGGCTCCCAAGGCAATAAGTCACAGAGCCGGAGGAAGCAAGGGCCCTGTGCACCTTTACCGAAGACCCATCCATCAGCCCTAAGCCCTGACCCTGAACTCCCTAAAGCCCTAAACCTTGAAACCCTACACCCTACCCAGAAAGCTACAGCCTTCCGAACTCCTTGCATTAGACGGGGTGGAGTCTAGGCTGCGTCAAGAGTTTGGAGTCGCTGGCTTGAGGAAACCTCGAACACACAGAGCTTACAGACCCTGGATTGAACACTCAAGACCCCAACCCAAACCCCCAAACCCTGAGAACCCGAGTTCAACAAAGGGCTTGTTCCTGAAACCTTCAATGCTTATGAGGTCCATCCGATAAATCCCAATCCCTAAACTCTAAACCCTAAACCTTCAACGCCAAGGCTTTAATTAGGGGTACGGGGAATCACAGCCGCACCTTCAGCCGTTGGCCCGGAATCCTCGTTTGGCACCTGCAAAGAGGGTTTGGGTGTAGGGCATAGGTTGAGAGGTGCTGTAGGGGTTCATGGATAGCCCTAACCCGAAACCCCAAACCCTAAAGCGTAAACTCCTAAACCCCTACACCCTGAACCCTAGACACTAAACCCCAACCCTGTATCCTAAACCCAAACTCAACCCTAAGCCCTGCTTCAGGAGATAGGTGCCCGGCCTGGTACAGGCGTAGGATCTCGTCATCGTGGACAGCCACGATAACCTCAACTGACGCTACGGGCAACCTCTAGAGCCATGTCGTCGAAGGGTGTGGGTGCTGAAGCATATGGGGAACGAGGGCAACAAGGCTGGCGCTCAGGGTTCAGGGTTTAGGGTTTAGGGTTCAGGGGTGAGGGTGTAGGGTTTAGGGTTTAGGGCTCAAGGGCATGAGGTCCAACCTGAGCCCTTGCGCATCCGGGAACAAAAAAGCCCCCTCTACGGAAAGGGAGCTGGCGTGATGTCTTCAAAGCACTCCGACTCAAGTCCTATATCCCTAGAAAAAAAGGCACCTAATATTTAGGGTACCCCAAACGGGATTTTCTTTTTGTTCGCCACCCATTTACAAGGGCCACACCGTTCCCCCCCCTCCCCGGCCCAGCACACACTCTTCTTCCCGAAGCCAAAATACAAAACACACAATACGACAAAGAGCCACTGCTCCTGGAAGCACAGGAACACCAAGCCTAAACCCTATGTAAACCCTACCCCCTAAACCCTATGGGGTACCCTAACCCCATGAGCCCTGTGTAATCCCGAAACCCCTCAACCACCACTAAAGCTGTGGATTCCACGATGAGGAATAGCGGACTTTAAGAGCCCACTGGCATGAAATGGGTGTTTACGAGATTAGGGGGTACCTTAATCGGGTCCTTATGCTAAGGGGATCCTGCCATTTTGGGGTCAACTTTAGGGGTCCCTATGTTCGTAAACCCCCAAATCTTGATTCTAACTAGGAAGAGTGCGGGCTAACGGCAGAGAGGTTAGGGTACCCTGAGCTTGCCCCAGTTCTTGTGTACCTCTCATGTATTCCCTCAACCCTAAACCCTAAACCCTAAACCCTGAACCCTTGCGTTGAGGACACCCCGGGCTCCGCACGCTGCCATCTGGACTCCACTTGCAGCCTTTGGCAAAGTTGTTCCTGCGATTTAGGGCTTGATGCTTAGGGTTTAGGGTTTAGGGTTTGGGGTGTGGGGTTTGGGGTTTATAGGGTTAAGGGCTAGGGTTTGGGGTTTGGGGTTTGGGGTATTGGGGGTTGGGGGTTTGGGGTTGGGGGAAGGTGTAGGCCTTTCTTGGGATTCGGGGGGGCGGCTGGGTTGAGGGACTTCGGGTTTATAGCTCGAGGGCATAATTTCAGGCTTGCGGCTGTGGCAGTCTAGGGTTGAGGCCACCCCTAAACCCTAAACCCTAAACCCTAAAGCCTAAACCCTAAACCCTAAACCAGTGAGGCCTCCCGGATCTAGGGTTTAGGGATTTAGGTCGCCGCTGAATCTGAAGTTCAGGGCTTTCAGGGTTGAGATTGAGCGGAACTGGGGGGGGGGGGGGGGGGGCGACAACTCTCAACTGCACATAGCAAAAGAGCCTAAAGAGCCTAGCCAGCTTGGGCCAGGGCTCAGGGTTTAAGGCTCATGGTTCATGTGCCGGAACAGGATTGTTAACCCTAAACCCTAAACCCTAAACCCTAAACCCTAAACCCTAAACCCTAAACCCTAAACCGTAAAGGAGGTGCCCTAGTCACAAACGCCTCCTAGTTGAGGTCAAAGTGCTCCAGCTTAGGCGGTAAGTCAACAGTAGGAGAGCACCTCGCACTGAAGGACATGAAAAGATGAACCGTGCTAACAACTAACAACCGTCCCTGAGCACCCCCAGGCAGTGAAGGGATTAAGTAGGGCGTCCCTCAACCCTAAACCCTGAACCCTGACCCCCTAAACCTTCTCTTCTAAAGGCGTAGAGGGTGTCGGGGTGAGGGTCTGAGTCTTTTGGCACATTTGCAGACGCACTGGCAGAGCGCAGTCCACTTGGGCTTTGCCGCCCTGGGCAAACCACTTGGGCTTTGCCGCCCTGGGCAAACCCTAAACCCTAAACACTAAACCCTATACCCCATAAGGCCACTGTGACTGAGCGGTTCGAAGTGAGATGATAGCGTGGGTGCTTGAGGCCTTAATGGACGCATATACCTTGAGGGGTTAGGACTTGGGGTTTAGGAGTTTAGGGGTTTAGGGATTTTAGGGCTTTTAGGGCTTTAGGGTTAGGGGAAACTTCAACTCAGGTAAATTTAGTACATGCTCCCAGCTGAAGGGTGAGTTGGGGTGTTGGGAGGGGGTGGGAATAGTCACCTAGCAAGGCACCTTAGGCAATAGGCCCTGAGGACTGAACCCAGTAGCCATGAAGAAGCGACGTTTGTTGGCGTAGGTTCGGGTCTGAGGCGTATAAGCCTTAAACCCTAAACCCTAAACCCTAAACCCTACGGCAGAGTGGGCAATCTCACCGGCTCAGCCATTGCCGCAGCAGGGAGTTGTGCGTGGGGTCGGCTACCGCCCCGATCTTCTCATTCTGCCTGCCTTGGGCTTTCAAGCTGGGTTTGCGGGGTTGAGGGTTTAGGGTTTCGGGTTTCTAGGGTTTGGGTTTCTGGGGTTCAGGGCTTATAGGGTTTAGGATTGTGTGACTCTGAGTCTGAGTGGGCCCCTGAAACTTCACACGATCCTGGCACCCATAAGCCTCAGACGCAACACCCGAAAGCAAAAACGTCAAACCATCACCACAGTTCTGGGTTTACGGTAAACCCTAAACCATAAACCCTAAACCCTAAACCCTACACCCTAAACCCTAAACCCAATCTTTGAATCCTCCAAGAGCTGAAGGCTCGCGGGTCGTGCCGGGGTACAGTCTGGCAGCAGATGGCTGAGGCATACGGCTGTCACCTCGCGAAGTCCCAAGAGGTTTTGGTTTCAAAGTTTGGGTTTTAATTGGGGCTTACGGCACAGCTTATATAGGGTTTAGGGTTTAGGGTTTAGGGTTTAGGGTTTAGGGTTTAGGGGGAGCTTAAAGAAACCTAAACCCGACAGGCACTAAAAACCTCTAAGCCACCCCCGAACCTCACCAAACAAATCCTTTCACTGGATCTCTCGATTATTCTATTCTCAAGCCCGGACCCGAAAGCCTCTGCAAACCCCGAAACCCTAACTCCCCAAACTCCCAAATCCCTGACCTTTCTGGCTCTATGTTGGGGGCGAGGGGAGAAGGCAGCTCATACAACGCCCTGACAAGCTACATAGTAGGGCGTAGGGTTTAGGTTTTGGGCCAGTTTTGGGAGTAGGTACTCCTGCCTGATGCCCTACTAAGCACTAGCCGACGCCCTAAATCCTAAATCCTAAATCCTAAACCCTGAACCCTAAACCCTAAACCCTAAATCCTCCACACAAAGCTGCCGGCACGTTGCCAGGGGAAGGATGGAGCTGATGGCCGCGGCAATCCACAAGTTCTCGAACTGGGCCTCCTCGCCAGCGACACCTCGGAAAAATGGGCTGGCTGGTACTTCGTAGGGAATGAGGGAATGAGGTAGCCTATAGGGTGTATATATATATATATATGTATATATACATATGTATATATATATGTATAATATATATATATATATAATATAATAATATATATATATATATAATAATATATATATATATATATATATATATATATATATAGGGCCCTGATTCCCTCATTGCCTACTAGGAACCAGGGGTTTGGGCATGATGGGACATTTCGGGTTCAGGGTTAAGGGTACGAGGCTACACCACCCTATGACCTCGAAACCTGGGTAAGTAGAGACATTGCGAGCTCAACGAAAAAATACTGGGAAAATAGGCAAAAAGGCTTCCTTGGGGTTCAATGGACAAAGCCCGAGGCATCAGGGTCTCAGGTTTGACTCCAACCCCGACCCCGCAACCCCAAATTACTCCCAAGCAGGGGTTTAAGGGTTTCAGGGTCGAGGGTTTAGGGTTTCAGGGTTTTAGGGCTTTTGGGGTTTTAGGGCTTTTGGGGTTTTAGGGCATATAAGGGTTTTAGGGTTTTAGGGTTTTAGGGTTTTAGGGTTTTAGGGTTTTAGGGTTTAGGGTTTTAGGGTCTAGTGTTTAGGGTTTCGGGTTTAGGGGGTCAGCAAAGCCTGAGGGAATGAGGCCGCTGTCAGGGGACCTGGGGTGGCTTCCTCTACGGGTGTGGGGTCTTCGCTCTTTAGGGTTTAGGGTTTAGGGTTCAGGGTTTAGGGTTTAGGGTTTAGGGTGTAGGGTGTAGGGTTTAGGGTTGAGGGTTGAGGGTGTAGGGCTGCGCGAAAAAAGCCCCAGATCGAGATACTGACGTGTTGACAGCCATGCGAAGCCCGAGGGCGAACCACTTTCAAACATGGACCGTCATAGACCTCACCTGCTTAGGGGCTGAATACCCTAACCCAGAAACTTACTGTTGGTTAGCAGGGAAGGAGGGAATTAGAGCCCTATGCTATCCCTTAATTAAAGGGCATTTATAGCTCTAATCCCCTCATTCCCTACAACCAATTAGCTTTTTTTGATAGGAATATCTATAGGTTAAAGTAAACCGCCCAGCCCCTAACTAGTTCTGGGGAATTGGAGGACTGCTATCTCCACCTCTAACCCATTCTGATCTCGGGATTCTTTGGGGGGCACTCATTTCGAAACCCGATACGAAATACTTGATCTTTGGGGACCCTGAACCCCCTAAACCCTAAACCCTAAACCCTAAACCCTAAACCCTAAACCCTAAACCCTAAACCCTAAACCCTAAACCCTAAACCCTAAACCCTAAACCCTAAACCCTAAACCCTAAACCCTACGCGCCCTGTGGCCTCGGGGCTTTACATTCAGCACGTGGAGAAGCGCCGCCCCGAAGTTGGAGCTCACGGTGGTTCCCAGATTGTGACCTGTAAGGTTTAGGTTTAGGGTCTAGGGTTTAGGGTCCAGGGTTTAGGGTTTAGGGTTTCGGGTTTGGGGTTTAGGGTTTAGGGCTTAGGGCTTAGGGTTTACGACCGGCCACATGAGTCCTCTTGAGGGGCTGAATGGATCCATGGGGCGCTTGAGCGGATTGATGCCTTGAGGTAGGTAATAGGGGAACCCTGTTTCGGCGTCACTTGAAGGGGATTCTATTCTATTTGGGGTATAAATCCCCTAAACCCTAAACCCCAAACCCTAAACCCTAAACCCTAAACCCCAAACCCCTGACAGGATCGTTTTTCTTTGTTGAAGAGCGGCAGGCCCTGGGGGGGGCGCGGATCGGAGTTTAGGCTTTAGCGATCTTAGGCCTCGTCGAGTTCCTCCAGGATGTTTTAGGGGGGCTGTAGGGTTTACAGGGTTTTAGGGTTTAGGGTTTTAGGGTTTAGGGTTTTAGGGTTTGGGCTTTTAGGGTTTAGGGATTGGGGTTTAGGGTTTAGGGGTACTTTATGAACCAAGTAGAACTGTACTTAACACCCACTTATAAGCCCCTTTAAGTGCCCGAATATGGTTATAAGTACAGTGGTAAGTACAGTTATAGTTGGTTAATAAGTATCATGAACCTCCAAGTAAACCCTAAACCACCAACCTTCAGCCCATCGTGAAGCAAGGGATTCGGAGTATCAGAAGAAAATGTCCAGGTGTGCCTGCCGAGGTTTAGGGTTTAGGGCTTAGGGTTTAGGTTTAGGTTTAGGGTTTAGGGCTTAGGGCTGAAGGTGCAGGGTTTAGGAGGCCTAGAGTCGCCATATGTAGGGGGAAACTACCGTCCACCTGCGACTGAAACCCTAAACCCTAAACCCTAAACCCTAAACCCTAAACCCTAAACCCTAAACCCTAAACCCTAAACCTAAACCCTAAACCCTAAACCCTAAACCCTAAACCCTAAACCCCAACCCCCAAACCCTACCCTAAACCCCAAAGAAAACCCTAAACCCTAAACCCTGACAAATGACAGCTGCCGGGTGGCATCCTGCAAGGAGTGCGAACATGGTGGCCTCTGAGATGCACGCTCTTAAAAATGGCAGTCCAGAAGGATCCCCATTCGCTTCTACTGGCTGGTTCTTAGAGGGAACACCCTAGCCCTAAACCCTAGCCCTAAACCCTAAACCCGAGGTACCCTAAAGAATCGCTTAAAGGGCATACATAGGGCCCTCATTCCCTCATTCAGGGGGTCTAAGGCAAGGACTCCTGTTCTAAGATGCAATTTCACAGCTTATAAGCCCTAAACCCCCTAAACCCTAGACCCCCGCCCATATGGGCCGATTCGAGCTTGCCTGATGGATGGGAGGTCGCTGAACTGGGTCTCCATGAGCTCTGTTTGGGGGCTGTGCTTAGGCTAAGGGTGTTCCGATTAGTGATTTGAGGAGTTTTGCGGGCTGATGAGGTTGTTTTCCGGGGCTTCTTGGGTGCTCAGGGCTTCTTTAACAGGGTTGAGGGCGCGCGGGCTCTCAGTTCAGGGCGATGGGCGCAAGGATTAGGGTTTGAAAGGCTTGTGTGGAACCTGGCTACGACATACTATACATCATAGCTATAAGGCGTACTGTCTATTGTCTAGAAAGTTTTTGAACAAAAGAATTGACGAGTTGTTCATTATCTGATGTATCATCTCGTTTAGATCTGATCCCAGAATCCTAAACGCTAAACCCCAATAATGCATGTCCTTCTGAGAGGATCGGTTTTTGGGTTCGCGTGCGTGGGATGGGCGGGGCATCGGAGGGAGGGTTAGGGGTTGAGGGGTTTAGGATTTGGGGCTCAGAAGGGGTTTGGGGGTTTGGGTTTGAGCCCTAAACCCTAAACTGAAGCAAAGAATCTTGAAGGATATACGACAGCTTTAAAAACTTAAGGTTTAGGGATCATGTCAAGGTCTCTGAACCGCCTGAACCCTGAATCTCCACGTAAGATCTCTCCCTAAACCATAAACCTTATAAGCCTTAACCTGGAACGCGACACCCATGTTCGCGGCCTCCATTCCGCGCGGGCAAAGGTTGGCATTCAACAGCACCTTGGGGGCCCAAGAATGTGTGTGGGACCCTAAAACCCCCAAACCACGAACCACCCCCCCCCCCCCCCCGGCGGAAAAAAAAAAAAACATCGTGAACCCATATAGCCCTGGCGTATAGAGAAGAAGATACAGCGTGGATTGGGTGGAGTATGTTAGTGCAGTCCCGCAAAACACGACAACCCCGTTGGCGGTTGAGGGCGACCAAGCTTGATGACCTTGCCGGTAGTTCAAGTCTTGGAATCTTGCAGTAATTAGGGTCTTCGGGGTTGAAAGAAATTAGAGGGTTTTGTTAAACGGGTTTAGGGCTGAGAGGCTTTCAGGACCTCGCAAGCCCCCGCCTGCGGCATCCACTGCCATTGGTAGACCATCTGCTCGCAGATGGAAAGGCCCAGAACAAGCCAGTGATCTGGGATTCCCAGCTTCACATTCCTGAGCCATTGTTGGGGTACTATCGAAAATGGTCCTTTTTGTTCCTTATATTCGGTTTATAAGTATTCGTGAAAGATGTAACATGATTTTCAACAATGACCCAGATTCAGCCGCGCGAACATCATGACATCCAAAGTGCTGAACAGGAACATGACGACAGCGGTGATCTTGATTAACCTCAGTTGCTGCGGTCGGTGTGACTCGACGTGAGTCTGGCAAGCCCACCTCCTGCTGGGTTTAAGGTTTAGGGTTTAGGGTTCAGGGTTTAGGGTTTAGGGTTTAGGGTTTACGGTTTACTTCTTCATTGCCGAAATGCATTCGGTACGGCAGTCCGCCAAGGTAGCGCTGGTATATGAGCATGCCCAGCAGTGAGAACACTGTTCCTACAGTGCCGAGAACGGTGTTGAAGAACACGTCCGAGAAGTGTGGGCCAGCCGGGTACATCTCCTTTGAGACGACACTTTTTAGGGGGATACCTGCCAAACCCTTTGCTGCAGAATAAGGGTTCTTCTGCAGAAAAACGTTTGTAAGATGAAGAAATTGTTTTCGGCCACTCAGAGCGGAAAATGTGCGGAACGCTTGAAATACCTGCCATCGCAAGGTTTTTTTGAGAGCGTTTTTCTGTGGTTTCCGAAGTGTGTTGCGAGCCATTCTTTAAGGTTCGGTTTGATTGGAAAGTTGAGCGAGTTTTTTTATCGAGTGAGCAGGTTGTCAGTGAGGAAGGAGTGATGAGTCCAGACCAGGCGTTAACAGGGTCTTAACGGATTAATTATGAGGTGTCATGAGACCGAGAGGATGGGAGTGCTCTTAATAGTATTTTCATAGAGTTGTAAGGAAGGCACGAGTTCTATTAAGATTTGTCAAAAGCAAGAACGATTGATTGGTTTGTTGCAGTTCTTTTAATTGGTTTCTCGTGATCTCTTGAAAACCAGATTTTAAAAAAATGAAACCACCTAAGTTCTCCCATTTCTTTGTCAACACGCATCCAAGGCTGGACCTTGGACGTGCAGCCACTGCAGTGCTGTGACCCCTGTCTGGAAACGGCCGAAAATGGAGCAAATGTTCACTAGAACCTGCGCACTTCAAAGGGCGGAAATCGGCGTCAATAGAGCGGAAATCCGCGTCAAAAGAGCGGAAATCCCCGGAATCCCCCCCAAACCAATATCCCGAGAGAGCGTAACTTCCCCGCCCACCCCGCGCCCCACTTGCTGGGCCCGAAATCATATCCCAGCAACCATCCTAAAGCATCCTAACCCACTCAACTCCCTTAAGCTTTGTTTCTATGATTATCTATGGTTCAGAGAGCGTGCGGTCTACAGGGGACTTATTGTTGGTATTGAAAACAGTGCTTATGGGTTTCATCCCGGCACTCCCTCATCTTTGTCTGAAACAAGTTGAAAGGAACTAGAACTGCGATAAAGAAGTGTGACATATGATATATGTATCCGCTCATGTATCTATGCATGGCGTTCGCGGTGGATCTCTAGTGTACGTGGGGGTATTGAGAGCCAAAATCTTCAGTCAGGAAGGCCTATACAGGACTATCCTGAGCCCCTACACAAGCCCGGGACAAGCCCTGATCAGTCCTTAGAAGGTGTTTCAATATACTGCATTCGCGCGTTTATGGGTATCCAACAGCAGGGGTTTCGAGCATTTTTAGTGGAGGGCTGCTTTTCTTAAATCTTCATTTTTGGGGGGAAAGAGCGGAAACAGGCGGAAAGAGCGGAAATGCCAACAAAAAGAGTTCCGAGCAGATTTTACTGACACCTGGGTTTGGCAGGTAAGGGTGTTTTTGTTCCGTACGCTTTTGTTCAGAACGCATTTGGGTAACTCAAGCGGCTGCACCGGGCAAAAGACCCGAATTTCGGCTTCAGGGCCGAATTTCGTCTTCAGGGCTGAATTTAGGCTTCCGGCCCGAATTTCGTCTTCAGGAGCCGAATTTCGGCTTCAGGGCCGAATTTCGTCTTCAGCGGCCGAATTTTGTCTTCGGGGCCGAATTTCGTCTTGGGTGCCGAATTTCGGCTTCAAGGGCCCAATTTAGGCTTCAGGGCCAAATTTAGGCTTCAGGGGCCGAATTTCGTCTTCAGTGCCGAATTTCGTCTTCAGGGCCTAATTTCGGCTGGGCCGAATTTCGTGTTCAAATTTCGTCTTCGAATTTCGTCTTCGCCCCCCCCCCCCCCGGAAAAGGGGACCCACTTCCCCGGGTCTGTGTATATATATATATATGTATATATATATATATATATATATGTGTGTGTGTGTGTGTGTGTGTGGGCCTGAAGGCGGCTTAAACTCTATAGGGTTTAAGGCATTTAGGCATTACCTATCGGATTCGAACCTTATAACCCGATAGGGCTTGAAGCTTAAACCCCTAAACCTGAAATCCCACAGGGTTCTGCCGGCCTGTGTTTGTAGGGTGTAGGGCTTGCCTCCTGTGGACATGCAAAGAAAATAAGTACCCACATCAGGTATGTACACGGGGTATATATGTATACAGGGTATATCTGTATTGTATACTCAAACACAGAAAATGGAGAAGGAAGGATGGTAGGCCTCGAACCATAAGACTAGGAAGCATTCGAGCGCACAGGGTGAAGCGAAAAAATCATGTACTGTAAGCCGCGGGGACTCGAGAATACTGTGATCAAATATCCATTTACTCGCGCGTATGAAATCATAACCTTCCAGATAGACATGCAAAAGGTAGGCTCTACACGGGGGGGGGGGGGGGGGTTCCATACACAGCATATGCAATATATATATATATACACACATAATAATATATATATATATATATACATATACGCATTCCAAAACACCCTGGGCGCTTTTGTGTTCGGCACACGGCCAGCCACCAAGAAAATCACACCGGGTGCGTTCTGTTTATGTTCGGGATGCGGCCGAGACAAAACAGGAAAAGGGAAAGAGTTGGCCGAGGAGAAAGCTCACACGTTCCGAGGTTAGAAAATGCCAGGAAAAACATAACTGCATCGAACACCCGAATATGAACCGTCTCAATTCGTAAACATAAACATTTCGTCTCTGAACAAACCCTGGCACCCCAAACTCACAGCCCCAAACCCCAAAAACGTGCCTACACCCTGAACCCTATGCATTACCCCAAAGGGTCCTAAGTACCCACATAGTAGAAAGTAGGGCTTTCTATAATAGGAATTACCATTATGGTTTGGGTAAGCGTCCCCCATAAAGGTACTTAGGACCCTTGGGGTACGGGGTTTAGACCTTTCGGGGGGTCTCCGGCGTGTCTGTGTAGAAGTAGAAAGCGGCGCCGGAGACCGAAGCGCTCCTCGGGGGGGCGTTCAGCAGGCAAGCGCGGCGCCCAAACTTGCAAAGGGGAGGGGGGGGGTGGGCTTTATGGGTCTAGGGTTTTGGGGGTTTAGGGTTTAGGGTTTTTAGGGTTTTTAGGGTTTAGGGTTTAGAGGGTTTCGGATTTGGGTCCGGCGTTTTGGGTTTGGGGTTGAGGGGATGGGCGTTTGTGGCAGGATCGAAGGCTAGAGCGCCTGCACGCGAAGCCTAGGACCTCCAAATGGTTTAGGGTTTAGGGTTTAGGGTTTAGGGTTTAGGGTTTAGGGTTTAGCTCTTTTTGGGGTTCTGTAGGATTTAAGGTCCCTAATTTAGCTCTTTATGGGGTTGCGTAGGATTTAGGGTCCCTAGTTCAGCTCTTATAGGGGTTATGTAGGCTTTAGGTTTTTGGGGCCCACTTTTTGGTTGCTGCGACTCAGAACCTCCTCCGGCAGCCATGCCCCGTTGCGAGGAGGTACTGGCGCAAGCGAAACAAAGGCACTACAGGCGCAGGTGCTGGTTCCCCCTACAGGCGTCTAGGGCTTAGTTTTCTGGTTTAGGGTGCAGTCAAAGGCTCAGACCCGTGTAGAGCACGGCAAAGGCATTCGCTTTGGCGATGACTGGTGTGAGGCAGAAAGAGAAGCACAGCAGCGTAAACCTTGGGTGCCGCGTCCTACAAGTCCTCCACACACCCTAACCACCCCCTAGACCCTCATCAAAGTCCTAAGCCCTAATAACAATTGAATAAGCCCTACAGACCTTCATGAACCCTAAACCCCTAATAAGCCCCAAAAAGCCCGAATGAGGCGTAAACCCTCATTAACCGTAAACCCCACAAAGCAGTATACACCCCGAAGTGCTCAAGAAGGGGCGCTGGAAACCCTAAACTCTAAACCTAGTAACCCCACACCCAGTAACCCTAAACCCTAAACCTTAAACCTAGTAACCCTAAACCTAGTAACCCTCAACCCTAAACCCCGAAAGCTTCCCTGAAGCCTCTCAACCTCAGGGGCGCTTCTCGGACTGTAGGGTTCAAAGGGCGCAGGGCTTTTGCAGGTTGAAGGCCATGTAGCGTCTAGGATTAAGGGTTGAGGGCTGTAGGGTCTATAGGGTTTGGAGTCTGTAGGGTTTAGGCTCTATAGGGTTTAGGGTTTAGGGTTTAGGGTTTAGGGTTTAGGGTTTAGGGTTTAGGATTTAGGGTTTAAGGTTTAGGGTTTGAGGTCTATAGAGTGTCGGTGATTTTCCGAGGCAAAGCCCAGTGGAGGAGCAAGGCCGCGACCAGGGAGACCGCGAAGTTGATCCGCGGGTCGTGCTGGACGAGGCCAACAATCCTAGGGTTTAGGGTTTAGGGTTTAGGATTTAGGGTTTAGGGTTTTTTTTTTAGGGTCTAGGGTCTAGGTTTTAGGGTTTCGGGATTCGGGTTTAGGGTTTAGGGACTAGGTATACTTAGGGTGATTTAAACAATCCTATGGTTTAGGGCTAAGGGAATACCTCACCCGAAACCCTAAACCCTAAAACCCTGAACCCTAAACCCTGCACCCCCCCAACTACCCTCTCAGGGTTATTTAGGCTTAAGGGCTTGTAGTCGTTGCTTCCCCAGCAAGACATCCTCCAAAGACCCCCTGCTGCAAGGGAACCTGCAAGGAGGCCGCCCCCCCCCCCGCCTCACTGTACAGAGCGACTGCCTTACTGGTTCTTATAGGGTTCAGGGTTAGGATTTAGGGTTTAGGGCAGTTTAGGGTTTAGGGTAGCCCAGTAGCCATACTAAAACAAGGGCGCCCTTTTGGGGTTGGGTACTTTATAAGGGAACCTTGAACCAAGAAAAGGGAAAAGAGTACCACTGGGCTACCAAGGCAGGGAATTTGGGAAGAAGGCATCTAATCATCCCCCTTCGCGGGATGTAGAGTACCTAGTTCCAATAAACATCAACCTAAGAGTTGACGTGAATTGAACTGGGTACTTCTGGAATCCAGACCCCAAAAAAGGCTTTGCAAGGAAAATAGGGTACTACGGAGTGTATTCGAAAAAGAAGTGACTAGGTCATAGCTGTTGTAACTATAACCGGGTGTGGGGCACGTACGGATCCACCTCACTGCAAGGTGAAGCTTTAGCGAGCCCAAAATCCCCCCGCATTGGGGATCATACGAGGCATTAGGGATCATGCGAGGCAGGGCGTTTATTGCTGGTATCCCCAAAAGAACACCTCACACATGCGCTCAGCAATATGTAGAAGGAACCATAAACCCCAAGCCCTAAAGCGCGCACCAAAAGCCATCACACATACAAACTGCTTCACATGCCGCCCCCCCCCTCATCCCTCCTCAGAAAAACAGACCAAGACCACCGCGACTCCAAACATCCTAGGGGTTAATTAGGGTTTATAAGTTGTAGGGTTTAGGGTGTATAAGGTTTAGGGTATAGGGTTTATAGGGTTATAGGTTTAGTGCTCAGGGTCCATACACGTCCATACTACAATTCCACCAAACAACCTCTAAGTATGGACCAAAGCTCATGATCGTGAAGGTGCTGAAGAGCCTGGGGCGCGTTGTCAGGAACTGTCCAGGGTGAAGCAGCGTTTATATTTCTTGTACCCCCAAGAGGACACCCAGTATATACACTCACTGATATTAAAAAGGAACCTTACATACACTCACCAAGAACAGTAATATTATAAACCCTACTTCATATAGGCGCCTTCATCATTCGAAGAGGGTTGTGGGGGGGCACTAGAGTTTAACTATATGGCTACCATAAGGGAATACGATTAGCAACTACTCCGACCCCCTACAGTGCACAGGTTGGGGTTGAGGGCTTAGCTATCTCTTCGGTTTGTTCGGGCGCATGGAGTGAACGGGTGTATGAATCTTCGGCTGCAGGGTTGAAGAACGCCCTCGCGATCCCTCAACACTACGTACTGCTCCAACAGATGGAATTCAAAGGTCTAAGAACCCTTAAGCGCAAGCTATCTGATTCCCGCCCTGAGGAAACCCACGAAGCTCGGGTAAGATCACGTGCACGAAGACAAGGTGAATCTACATTAGGGGCTAAGACGGTTTTTTTGAGGAATTCCAGGCCGACTTCAACAAAGGGCGAGGACCACTCTCTCCTGATGGGTCTGGGGCGGCGAACTCAAGCGCTTGGGCCAAACCCGTCGAGTTCAGGGAGGGCAGCTTGGGGGGTGTAGGCTTCTTAGGGTTTAGGGTTTAGGGTTTAGGCCCGAAACCCCAAACAGTAAACCCCAAAACTTAAGTTTTCGGGCACTCCCGACATGCCGCTTCGCCACATGATCAGGCAAAGAAAGCACGTCTCCCGATGTTCCAAGTAATGCCGTCGGATCGCGGTAAGTTCCTGGCGCAAGCATCAGGGTTTAGAGTATAGGGTTGAGGGTTTCTGGAGCTTGTAAGGCATTCTGACAGACCCGACCCCCCCCCCCTAAACCCTAAACCCTAAGCCCTACACCCTAAACCCTAAACCCTAAACCCTAAACCCTCCCCGAACCCCAAAATCCGTAAGGAAAGGTTGGTCTTCGTGTTTGAGGGCTTACAACTCGAACATGCGGAATACTGAAATCCCCAGACTTTCAGAATCAAGGGACTAAAGGAGGGACCCTTCTAAGAGACCTTAGAAATTATTCTGGGGGCTACTTAGGTACATAGGGACGACATGAGGTATCTATTGGGGTTATGTAGGGGAATAAGATTAAGGGTCCCTTCTAGGGGTCCCTCCTTTTTACCCCTTAACAGAAAGAATGAGCCCTTTTGGCTTCTAGCTGTCAAGGATGATGAGTGGAGAATGCAGGGATCTGCACTCCCAAAGAAAGAGAACCCGAAACCCTAAACTCTGCACCCGAAACCCCTTCACCTCCGCAACCTCCAGTGTCTAGGCTTTTCGGAGCTACCCTAGAAGCCCTAAATCATGTGCGGCTCAGGGTTTAGTAGGCTCCCCGCACCCAAGCCGCTTGCCACAGGTAGCTCCTGTATAAATATCTGAGAAATGGACCCTAACCCCTAACCCCCTAAGCCCCTAGACGCTAAACCCCTAACCCTGCATAGGGCTTCGGGATCACATGGCCCTAAAGCCTAAACCCAAAACCACAAACACAATCGCAGACCCCAAACCCCAATAAACCCTCATTAAACTTAAACTTCAAACCCTAAACCCTGAACTCTAAACCCTAAACCCGAAACCCTAATGGATGCCTCCGACCCTTATAAGTCCTAAAAATGAGGACTCTCCGACCTCCTGTGATCTGGGGGTCTCTTCGAGGCAGCCGAGTACGATGGGAACCAGGACCTGGGTTCAGCTAAGGACTTAGGATTAATCTGGTTTAGGGTTTTAAAGGTTTAAGGGTTAAGCTTTAAGGGTTTAGGGTTTAGGGTTTAAGGGTTAAGTTTTAAGGGTCTAAGGTTTCGGGTTTAGGCCCTCAGGCTTAAACGGAGCAGTTTCGTCCCCGACGAAACTCTAGGGGTGTAGGTACGGGTGAGCCCCCGGGCAGCACGAAGCATGGACACCTTTGCCTCAAGATGCAAACCCTATGCCCTAAATCACAAAATCGTAGGCGCCCAAACAAGCTGCGAAACTAGAATAGGGTAGTGCTCCAAATTTGGATCCCTTTTGAAATCATTCTTTTAAGGGTGCCGTGCTTTCTATGGGTCGTTTCTGGTCCTTCTTTGTGGTTATCATAAGGTGGCACCCTTTAGACAGGGATCCCCCAAAAGAGACCACAATTTGGGAAGGTACCCACCACCTAGGACCCTAATTTAGAGAACTACCCAATAGCAGGCCGAGAGCTACAGCCAACGATGTTATCAAGCACGTCAGGGTTTAGGGTTTCGTGTTTAGACCGCCTGAAGGTTCCCACTAAGGAGGGTTTGGGGTTTAGGGTTTGGGGTTTAGGGCCTAGGGGCCTAGGGTTTGGGAACCTATCTCAGGGCCTTGAGGGATGTACCGGGTATCTTTTGTACGCCCAAGAATAGTAGAAAGGTTTGTAGAGCAATGCCCTAACCCTAAACCCTAAACCCTAAACCCTAAACCCTAAACCCTAAACCCTAAACCCTAAACCCTAAACCCTAAACCCACAACAAGTAAGGCTCTTCAGGTACAGGGCACCAGCGCTGCCGGGATCGATGTGCAGAAGAAGGCTGCACGCCAGCCGTACTCGCTGATCAGAGGGCCTTTGCCATTTCATAGCTTCTATGGGCTTACCAGGGTTTTGGGGTTTATAGGGTTTGCAGGGCTTCTCTGGGCTTGTCAGGGTTTGTCGGGTTTATAGGGGCTGCTCTGGGCCCACCAGGGTTTATAGGGTTTATGCGGTTTATAGGGTTTGTAGGGTTTGTGGGGATTGGGTTTGTAGGGTTTAATTGGTTTGTAGGGTTTATAGGGCTTATGGGGTTTTTAGGGTTCGTAGGGTTTGTAGGGTTTATAGCGTTTATGGGGGCTTGCAGGGTTTGTAGGGTTCATAGGGTTTGTAGGGTTTATAGGGTTTACAGGATTTACAGGGTTTACATGGTTTATAGGGTTTGAAGGGTTTATAGGGCTTAGGAATCTGAACTCTGTGGGGTTTAGGGGGTTTCGTTCATCAAAAACACTTCAGCCCCCAACACGTGCACGGTGCATGTTTCTGTTGCGTCTCTGTCTAGAAGCTTCGGCTTAAACCTCGTTTTGGGATTGCTCTCTCAACTGCTTCAAAAGCCTCTTGCGCTGCTACCCCTTCGCCTGCACTCACGCCCACCCTAAACCCTAAACCCTAAACCCTAAACCCTAAACCTAAACCCTAAACCCTGAACCCTGAACCCTAAACCCTGAACATCCTGAACTAGGATGGCCCATCTCTGAATGAACATTCCTACATTTGATCGTCTTGAACCCAATAAGGGAACATGCAAAACGTCCTAAGGGCCTACAGAGGGGAAATCTCAAGGTCAGTTCCTAAACCCTAAAACCTAAACCCTAAACCCTGTCCTTGTTGGGATGCCGCTCAAAGCAACCCAAAGAGCCCAACAACGTCCACATACAGAAAAGGCGCTACTTCACATAAAGAGCCCGATGCAGCTAGGTAGGGTACATACTCCTTTGTTGAGAGGTAAGAGACCTATACTTCCCGAATATCTACAAAAAGCTCACAACTACATGAAGGAAAAAAGAATGGAGCTTCCAAGGTCTATATTCAAATCATTACTTCGACCCCTAAACCCTAAACCCTAAACCCGAAACCCTAAACCCTGAACGGCATCTTTGGGCGTCCCCTGGCGACCATGGCGACTGCAGGGCTCACGGTTTCATGCTTCTGAGGGCCTTACAGGGCCTTCCTGCTTAGGGTTTAGGGTTTAGGGTTTAGGGTTCAGGGTTTAGGGTTTAGGGTTTAGGGCTAGGGTTTAGGGCTAGGGTTTAGGGCTAGGAATTAGGGTTTGGGGCTTAGGGTTTCGGGGCTTCAGGGTTCAGGGCTTAGAGTTCGGGGTTCAGGGTTCGCAGTTCAAGGCCTTTGCTTAGTAAAGGGCAGTAGAAGGTGGGTGGGTAGCTACTGTTTACATAAGCCTCTTAGAAGCAATCTAGGGCGGAAACCGTCCTAGATTTACGGTTCAGGGCCTCAGGGCTTAGGAACCCTAAACCCTAAACCCTAAACCCTAAACCCTAAACCCTAAACCCTAAACCCTAAACCCTAAACTCTCAGGGACCTCAAGGTTCAACTCTTTTTTGGGCTCAGGGTGCAGGGGGTTGCGGGCTCTTGCACAAGGCAAGCTGCCGGAGACGAGCATCGCCAAGAGCGAGGCCATGTTGATCCCTGCCCAAACCTAGGCTCAAGAATCCCTGCCCTGGGCAAGCGCTTTTTGCTCTAAACCATAAACCCGGAACCCTGAGGCCTAAACCCTAAACCCTAAACCCTAAACCCTAAACCCTAAACCCCATAGACCTGAAATCTGAAACGAAACCACGGCCGCAATGCAGGCAGGAGGCGTAGGTCATGAGGTCTGGACCTGCCTCAGGCGCTTTTTGCATCTCCACGGCGTAGCGCGCCTCAGGAGCATGCAGGGAGATGTGCGTGCGCGATGTTGCATCGTTGCATAGTTGCATAATCAGGGTGTTTGGGACACCAACCCTGACCTCTAATTCTAAAAATTCTAAACCCTAAACCCTAAACCCTAAACCCCAAACCCTAAACCCTAAACCCCAAACCCTAAACCCCAAACCCCAAACCCTACCCCGAGGCCCCGAAACCCCCGAGGCTTGGAGGCCCCGAGCCCGGGCCGCAGCTCCCAGCCTTCCCAGCCCTCCCCGACACACCTCACCTCCCGCTCTTTAGGGTTTAGGGTTTAGGGTTTAGGGTTTAGGGTTTAGGGTCTATGCTTCCAGGGACCTTCATATTGGGTCCTTCAGGGTTCTAGTAACCTGAGTATCAGGTCGCTGGAAGTATAGGGGAATGTATTCACTGGTAAGGTGTTTAAGGTGTTTGATAGGGCCTCGAAGGCTTCTAGGGGTGTCAGGGTTTTGGGGCGTTGGGAGGTTTAGGGCCACGTAAGCCTAAGGATCGCCTCCACCCTAAACTACTGTTTGCTTAAGAACCCCAAAAGGATTAAAACAAAAACACTAATCCTATAGTAACCTTAATAAGGAAGAATATGTTTTATATTTTTCTGGGTTCTTAAGCAATTACTAGTAAACCGGCCTCCGTCAGCAGGTCGGCTGTTGAAAGCTGGAGGTGCACGAGCCTTGGATGATGGGAGAGGCGGCGAGGGGAAAGAACGAAAATATGTGTGCCAGGCGCCCAAACCCCAAACCCCAAGCCCCAAGCCCCAAGCCCCAAACCCTAAACCCTAAACCCTAAACCCTAAACTCTAAACCCTAAACCCTAAACCCTAAACCCTATTAAGGGCCCGAGGTTGGAGGGCCTCCCAATAAAGCAGTCCAGCGGCACCAGGCAAACCACCCCGACCTCTCTTGCAGACGTAGGAGTGGATTGCAGATACTTGGGGGTTCATGGTACTTATTAACCAAATTTATAGCTGTACTCATAGGGTTTAGGGCTCCAAGTATATTACAGTATTGTAGAGTTCTTAGGGGGTGGGAGGTTTCAAGGAGGGTACGTAGCCCAAGGTTCCCTAATACTCCCCTCCACTCCCTCCGGCCCCCTAAGCTTCCCTAACGTTTTGTAGGTAATTGACCCAAACCCTAAACCCAAAACCCAAAACCCCAAACCCTTAAGGACCCTTAAAAATAAACTCTGAAGCCGAGGCTGCGGATGCTGGTTATAAAGGCTTGGGGCTTTGCTATATGGTGATTTCTCTAAATTGTGGTCCCTATTTGCGGTCTTTAGGCGGCCCCTCTTATTTCGGGCACCCCAAAAGGGACCGTACTGTAGAGAACTGACCATATAAGTTTGGAACCCTAAACCCTATAACCCCTGAAAGGTATGTGGGTCGCCCCCAAGCCTTTTTGTTGCGGTTTAGGGTTTAGAGTTTATAGGGTTTATAGGGCTTATAGGGTGTATAGGGTGTAAAGGGCTTATAGGGTTTATAGGGTGTAAAGGGCTTATAGGGTTTGTAGGGTTTATAGGGTTTATAGGGTTTATAGGGCTTATAGGGCTCGTGGGGTTTACAGTTTATAGGGCTTATAGGGTTTAGGGCTTTTGGGTTTACGGATTACGGAACCCAACCTCTACATGAGAAAGGAATAGGGGTACTACAGGGCATCCAGCAACCCCTCATAGGGTCTATAGGGTTTAGGGTTTAGGGTTTCTAAACCCGTTTAGGGTTTAGGGTTTAAGGCTAGATAAGGCTCACTAGGAGACCTTTTGTACACGACAGGGTTTCGTCCCAATGCGGATACTTGTTTATCGTCGGATTCGCTAGTTCCAACGTTAGAACAGCTGCCGGTTAGAACTCTTACACCTATGGCCGCTTCTTTAGGCACAGACCTCCGGACTCTAGTCCCTACAAACCCTAGAAACCCCGTAAACCCTACAAACCCCACAAGCCCCAAAAAACCGATAAACCCCATAGACCCTACAAAGTATAAACCTGCAAACCGTATAACCCCATAGACCCTGCTACAAACCCTATAAACCCTACAAACCCTCCAAACCCTATAAACCCCATAAACCCTACTTGGTAGCCCAGTAGCCATGTTTTCAATAAAAGTACACTTTTTGGGGTTGGTCTCTTTCTGAGGGAACCCAGAACAAAAAGTGGGCACCGCCGTGATATCAAGCCTTTCTTCGAAACCCTGTTTATGTACGCCTTAGTAGCAAGGACTCCCTATTGGGTAGCCAGAACCCTTAAGGCTGTAGGTAAGTAGGGCCCCAGGTAAGCCTAGCTCATTGTTGGGATAATATTAAAAATACTTCTACATTCCTGATTGGGCTAAAGTACCCCTTATACAATATAAAATGTTACCCAACTATGACAAAGATCCTAAACCCTAAACCCTAAACCCTAAACCCTAAACCCTAAACCCTAAACCCTAAACCCTAAACCCTAAACCCTAAACCCTATGAACCCTGAACCCCACGGGCCCCTGGCGGAGATACTTGTGGCGGTCCAGAACGACAACACCATGAAGGCGAAGCTGGAGCAGATGGAGGCCCCAATGATGTAGGGCGCCTTCGGGTGTAGCCCTAAACCCTAAACCCTAAACCCCAAACCCTAAACCCTAAACCCTAAACCCTAAACCCTGAGCCCTAAACCCTCAACCCTGTACCTACATGGGTTTAGGGTTTATAGGGTTTAGTAGACTTAGTAGAACCCGAAACCCCAAAACCCATGCAGGCATGCACGGTTTGACAAGCGTAGCCTTCTGCAGAGCAGACGGAAGTTCCTAAGAAAAGGAGCCCCCGGAAGCCTTGTGGTACCCGAAGATCGGCGCCACGTCGCTGGTGAGCCCCACGATCGGCTTCCTTAGGGGCTTCCCCAGTATGCAGAAACCCTAAACCCTAAACCCTAAACCCTAAACACCAATGTTGGGTTTGGGCCTGCCGGTGGCCTACTCACTTCTGAAGCTTCCCTTCAGGGCCATGGTGGGGTTTGGAGAGACTGGAGCCCGCTCGAAACGCCAAAACCCTAAACCCTAAACCCGAAACCCTAAACCCTGCCCCTCAGCCTGCATACCAAGGCCCACCAATGGTGCAGGTACTAGGCTATAGGTGGTAGGATTTAGGGTTTTTAGGGTTTTTAGGGTTTTTGGGGGTTTTTAGGGTTCTAGGCTTTTTAGGGTTTTTAGGGTTTCTAGGGGTTTTCGGTGCTTTTTTTTGGTTTAGGGCCTCTCTAGGGTTTAGGGTATTGCGGTTTAGGGCTTGTAGGGGTAGTTTGGGGCTCCCAAACCGAAAAGGAAAACAGGGTAGCATTTTTTTCCTTGGGCTTAGAGGGGGTCACTGCACTCAGCATAGCACGAGGTTTTGGAGGGGATATTGAGCTGCCGGCCTTAGATGTAGGGTTTAGGGTTTAGGGTTGAGGCTTGGTTTAGGGTTTAGGGTTTAGGGTTTAGGGTTTAGGGTTTAGGGTTTAGGGTTTAGGGTTTAGGGTTTAGGGTTTAGGGTTTAGGGTTTAGGGTTTAGGGTTTAGTTTTAGGGTTTAGGGTTTAGGGTTTAGGGTTTAGGGTTTAGGGTTTAGGGTTTAGGGTTTAGGGTTTAGGGTTTAGGGTTTAGGGTTTAGGGTTTAGGGTTTAGGGCTGAGGCTTGAGGGTTTAGGGGTTTAGGGTTTAGGCTTTAAGGTTTAGGGTTTCAGGTTCAGGACTTCGGGCCTCACACCCCAAACACGCTTAAGGATCTTCCGGCTGTCGAGTTTTAACTTGCAGGGGTTTAGGGTTTAGGGTTTAGGGTTTTCGGGCGTTTGGCCTTTGGCCCTTTCATGGGGTTCGGGGGTTGGGGGTTTTGCACATTGAAAGTGTTTTAGGGGCTTGGGGTCGTAGACATTTAAGGGAGCAATTGGCTTACGTTCCAGGGTCTTCAGGACTGTGGCTTTGACAGGTGTTCAGGAATCAGGGGTTTAGGGTTTAGCATATTTAGGGAACCCTAAAACCGCAAACCCTAAACCCCAAAACTTATTTTGTTGTCCCTTTTATATTGTATCATATGCACATATATATATATAGAATATAATAATAATAATAATAATAATGCTAATAATAAAATTATAATTATAATAATAATGATAAGAATTATAATTATAATTAATAATAATAATAATGATGATGATGATAATGATGATACTGATAATAATAATAATAACTATTTCTATCATTAATATTGTCAGTATCATTATTAAAAATAATATTCTTAATACTATTAGTATTATTGTGATGATTTAGTTTTTTTTTTTTGGGGGGGGGGGTGGTTTGCTCCAGGCTTCATCGCCCATGGCAGGCCAACCACACCAGAGAAGATCTGTACCTGCTCTTGGTGGGGGTTGAGGGTTTGAGGGGTTTGAGGGTTTGACGGTTTAGGATCTTTGAGGATTTAGGGTTTAGGGCTTAGGCGGCTTAGGGTTTGAGGGTTTGAGGGTTTGAGGGTTGGGGGTTTAGGGTTTGAGGGTTTGAGGGGTTTGAGGGGTTTGAGGGGTTTGAGGGTTTGAGGGTTTGAGGGTTTGAGGGTTTGAGGGTTTTTAGGGTTTGAGGGTTTGAGGGGTTTGAGGGGTTTGAGGGTTTGAGGGTTTGAGGGGTTTGAGGGGTTTGAGGGGTTTGAGGGGTTTGAGGGGTTTGAGGGTTTGAGGGTTTGAGGGTTTGAGGGTTTGAGGGTTTGAGGGTTTGAGGGTTTGAGGGTCTTGGGGCTGGAACCCGCGCTCGCGTGGGGTTGAGGGTTTAGGGTTTCAGGGTGTTGGGGCTGACCGGCGGCTGCCAACTATATGGTTCAGGGTTTTTTAGGGGCTGGCAGGCAGGGCTCCCCTAAACCCTAAACCCTAAAACCTAAACCCTAAACCCTAACCTAAACCCTAAACCCTACTAGTAATACACAAGAACTTGTAAGCCTAAAACAGAAGGAGGCCCAACTTCTTGGTGGGCGGTCTGGAGGTATTACCTGTTGGAGGCAATTGCCGCCCCCTTGGCTTAGGGCTTAGGGCTTAGGGCTTAGGGCTTAGGGCTTAGGGCTTAGGGTTTAGGGTTTAGGGTTTAGGGTTTAGGGTTTAGGGTTTAGGGTTTAGGGTTTAAGGTTTAAGGTTTAGGGTTTAGGGTTTAGGGTTTAGGGTTTAGGCTTTAGGGTGTAGGGCTCCCAGGGCTCCCCCCCCTTTGGGACTTGCTGGCCTTTTTTCGGGGGGGGCCTTGGCGGCGCTTCATGTCGGCCCGGGGCCCCTGTAACCCTAAACCCTACTAAGCCCCGTGGGCACCCGAAAAGATTTCATTGACTGCTTAGGGCCCCGCCTCCCCCCCATGGCAGCCCAAAGGAGGAAGAAGAAGAAGCAGCAGAACAAGAAGAATAAGCTGAATAAGAAGAAGCAGAAGAAAATGATGAGAATGTTTCGTGACAGCAATAATGCTCATAACATGAGCTCATATGGTTGGGGTTCAGTTTGACCTAGGATCGAGCAAATGAGGATCTACCTAGTGGGCTTAGGACTTATAACGTTTCAAGCACAACGTTGATTCCGAAACCCTTGGGGTTCTCTGGGCTTACGCATGAAGCCCTGAACCCCATAAAGGGTTTAGAGATTAGGGTTTAGGTTCAGGGTTGAACCCGAAACCCACACTATTGCCGTGCCCAGGCACCTGCGGGGCAGCTACTTTGTAGTGCCGGAAGAAGTACGGCGTTGCCTTCAACCTTGTATTCGCTTGGGCTTATGTCTTGGTAGGCCAGGAACCATTTGGGATGCTCCCCCTTATGTTGACAGTCCTTCATAGGGATTGTAGTAAGGGGGGGGGAGGGGGGGTGGTACTAAAATCCCTCTTAAGGACTGTTAGTATAGGGGGAACATCCCAAAGTAACCATGATATGAGAAGGGCACCCTTTGTGAGTTGGTTACTTTAAAAGGGAACCTTGAACCAACAAAAGGGTCCCGTAAGCATATTGTAATAAGGGCATCCTGCTTGGGGAGTCGGTTACTTTATAGGGGAACTTGCCGAACCAACAACAGGGAAAAGGGTTTTTAGGGTTCAGGGTTTAGGGTAGGGTTTAGGGGTACCTCTGAGCCACCAATCTGTTGGCTTTACAGTTCGGGCCCCTTGCTTTGGGTTTACGGCCTTAGGACTTGCGGCTTTGGGTGTGCGATTTTAGGGTTTAAGGTTTAGGGTTTGAGGGTTTACGGGTAGTCCACACGGCTTGACAAGGCCTTGGGACTCTTTTGGGTAGGCTTGGAGACTGGCATCCCGGTTTAGGGTTGAGGGTTTAGGGTGTAGGGCCCATGCGAACCCCTCCAGGGCGCGCAGAAGCCCTGCAACACCTACCCCCAAACCAAAACAGCTTTCGGTTTGGGGTTAAGTCTTTGGTGCAGGTTCAGGTTTGAAGAACCCCCCCCCCCCCCCCCCAAAAAAAAAAAAAAAAAAACACCGTAGCCACCCCAGAACGGAACATCGAACTACCAGCAGTCCCTCGGCAAAGCGCAGCAAGCTGAAGGTGAAGCCCTTCAGCAGATGTTGGCTCGTCCACAGCAGAAACAGCAGCCTCTGGGAGCACTTGTGTCTAGGGTTCCACGTATGGGCCCTAAACCCTAAACCCTAAACCCTAAACCCTAAACCCTAAACCCTAAACCCTAAACCCTACACCCTAAACCCGTAATTTGGGCCCCTTGTTGCATAACCCTATCAACTACACAGACTACGGGCCCATACTAAGGGCCCCATGGTTCCGATCTTAGATTGTTGGTGGCCAAGCAGAGTTCATGGTTTAGGGTTCGAGGGTTCTTCGGCTGTACCTAAATTCGGAACCCACCGTTGCTGTGTACTTTCGTCGTCCGGGGTATTCCAGGGTGTGGCAATCAAGCTTTACGCCATCACCGGGATGCATGACATTCAGAAGGTTAAGGGTTCAGGGTTATGGTCTGAAGGAGTTTAGAGGAGGGGTTTGGGTGTTTTAAGGTCGTGTCTGTGATTGCTAACCCTAAACCCTAAACCTTGAAGCCTAAAGCCTAAAGCCTAAAGCCTAAAGCCTAAAGCCTAAAGCCTAAAGCCTAAAGCCTAAAGCCTAAAGCCTAAAGCCTAAACCCTACGTCCACTAGAAAAAGCCAGGCTTGAGGAGACGTTGCCAAACGGCAGACGGTGCATTTGACTCAAAAAACCCTAAGTTGGGATGTTCCCCCTTCTGCTGTTAGGGGTACTAGAATCCCTATGAAGGACTGTTCGTATACGAGGGAACATCCCAAGCCCGAAGCCCTAAACGCTGCGCCAACTCAAGCTGAAATTTCTGGCGGACCGTGCAGATATACAACAGGAAAGGTCGGGCCCTTGAAGACTGACTGTGGGTTACATAGGATTTTGTAGGGCTGTCAAGGGCTTGGAGCCCGGAGAACTACAGACAGGTACCAAAAAACAGCCCCTGTATGTGAACCGTGGCTTATGTTACTGTGATTGGTGAGTGTATTCAGGGTTCCTTAGAGAGATTGGTGAGTGTGTACAGTTGGTGTCCTTTTGGGGATACTACTGTCATAAAACCCATACTTCATATGGGCATTTCCAAAACTAGGGGTACCCCTGTTAAAATTAAACCCCACCTAGACTGGAATCCCCTTAAAGGGACCCCCCCAAAAAGGGGCACCCCCTGTTTTCGGAAACTCCCCATATGCTATAGGGTTCCTAAGGGAGGGGGGTTCAAGGGGGGTAGGTACCTAGGGAACCTTAGGGAAGCTTAGGGAGCCTTAGGGAGTAGTAGGGACTATTCGGGAACCTTGGGTGACATACCTGAACCCCCCTCCCTTAAGAACCCTATATTAACATCCCAAACCATACCCTAAACCCTAGACCCTAAACCCACCCCATATGCCAAGGCACTTCCAGCCGAAGTGTTTTTCCAGGTTGGCCGTAAAGTCGCAAACCAAGAAGGCAGGAAGACACTGGCTGCGAGCCTCCGCCTGCAGGACCAGGGAGCTGCGGTTTAGGGGTTAGGGTTTAGGGTTTCGGGTTTAGGGTTTAGGGTGAGCTGCACATGCTGAAACAACACTTGCAACATGTATGGTGAATTCTCTAAAGTAGGGCCCCTTTTTGGGGTACCCCTAAACAACAGGGGCCGCCTTATCATCAAGACCCCAAAAGGTACCAAGATTTGGAGAACTCACCATATCACCACAAAGCCCTAAAGCTTGGTTTAGGTTTTTTGGGGATTGGTGTTTAGGATTTACGCAAGACTCCATTGCAGACAGATCCCGAAGCAGGCCGCTTGAGGATTGCATACAGAAGGATGGCTAGAACCTCGCTGTGGAGGTGAAGGTCTCATGAGGTTTGGGGTTTAGGGTTTAGGGTTTAGGGTCTAGGGTTTAGGGTGGGTACCGTAGCTGAACAACACTACCAGTTTGTCAATCACTGCTGTTTGGGAGCTTCTGGTCCTCCGGGGTATTCAGGAATTAAATCGCTGTAAGTTGGTCCTTGCAGTCTAGGGTTTAGGGTATCAGGTCAAACCCCAAAACCACCAAAAGCCAAAACCCCAAACTCTGAACCCGAAACCCCAAACCCTCGTAGCGGAGGGGGTTCTGTGACATGGGGAAGAAATAGGTTGCCCAACGGCCCCAACACCCCAAAACATGAAATCTCGACCGTAAACCTCGAAGCCCCCTAAGCCATTTTGTACCCCTAAGCCCGAAACCCCTCAAACCAACCAAAACCCGTAAACCCTACGTCTTTACATACCGTGAAAGCCGATACGCGCCTTGATCAAGGCGGTTGTCTCATCAGGAGCCTGTGTGTGTGTGTGTGTGTGGAAACAGGTATGTTCATCCTGGAAAGGCTTCACAGCCAACTACTTGCAGGGGGGCAGAGGGGGTGTGGGGGGGCTCTGCCCACCGAAGCTCCTCCCCATACCCCAGGAAACGTACCTGCTTGTCTGCGCCTGGGCCCCGTTGTGGGCAGCTGGCGGGACATTCATTGCATTCATCCTCATCTCACTTCGTGCTACGTCATTCCTTCGTGTCTGGCGTAGCAGCAGGGGCCGCAACTTTACCCCTGAAGGATCATCTCATCTCGTTTTCGTGTGCCATTCCTGTGGTCTGGCACACATGGTAAAAAACTTTCATCTCATCTTCATTACAAACATATCCAGGCAAGGTCACTTCCACACTATCACAATCAGTGTGTGATTGGGTTGGGCTTTCCCTCCTGGGCGCCCGCCAACGGCAGTTAGCCGAGCCTCCAGTTGGAGGTACGATCGTCCGAAGCTTTTAGGATGTGACGGTCCGTGCGAGCCAAGGGTTTCCTCCCGATTCCTTCTCTCTTGGTTTTGATTCGATGTCTCTTTGAGACGGGTGTCGAGCTGATGTATGTTCCCGCCTGAGGTCGTGTTTTGTCAGGTTGCCGGGGGTGTGGGCAGGCTCACCATCCCTTCCCTTCTCGCTCTCAAACTACCTGCCGCAGAGGTTTTGTTTTCCAAAGGGTGGACTGGACCCTTATCCACCACTTCGTGGACAGGCCCCGCATCCACTCGAAACCTAGTGGCGGCTCATTCAAAACCTTTTTTCGTTTTCCATGGGGGTTGTCAAACAGGTTTTAGGCAGTGCGAGCGCCAGGGCATGTGCATCACTTCATGCCTGTCTGCGAGTGCAAGCAAACATGTCTGCAGTCCCTGCATGAGTTGGCCCTTCCGAGGGTTGTGTGTGTGTGGAAACAGGTATGTTCATCCTGGAAAGGCTTCACAGCCAACTACTTGCAGGGGGGCAGAGGGGGTGTGGGGGGGCTCTGCCCACCGAAGCTCCTCCCCATACCCCAGGAAACGTACCTGCTTGTCTGCGCCTGGGCCCCGTTGTGGGCAGCTGGCGGGACATTCATTGCATTCATCCTCATCTCACTTCGTGCTACGTCATTCCTTCGTGTCTGGCGTAGCAGCAGGGGCCGCAACTTTACCCCTGAAGGATCATCTCATCTCGTTTTCGTGTGCCATTCCTGTGGTCTGGCACACATGGTAAAAAACTTTCATCTCATCTTCATTACAAGCATATCCAGGCAAGGTCACTTCCACACTATCACAATCAGTGTGTGTGTGTGTGCATGTGCATGTGTGAGGGTTTGGGGCTTGGGGTTCGGGGGAGTGTTGAGGGGTCCTGAGCTTGGGCTTGGGCGAAAGACCTAGTGCCTGCGGATTCTTCGAAGCCTTTCAAAAAGCAATCGTGCCATTTTGTTTAGGGTCTAGGATCTAGGGTTTAGGGTTTAGAGTTTCGGGTTTAGGGGTCCTGGAGCCTGGAACCCCCTTTTGGCTCGATGAGGGGCCAAAAATGCACCCCGAAAAATGGACTTCAAAATGACAAAAAGCGTCACCAAAAACAGGCCCCGTAATTTGAGCTTGAGGCAGAGCCACGCAAGGCAAATTGATAAGGGAACCAAAAGCAAAGCCAAAAAAAGGGGCTTGTTAGGTCCGGATTTTTGCAAGACGGGAATGCTCAAGAATTCGTCGGCGTTGCTGGGCATTTTCGGTAACACCTTTTCATCCTTGCTCAGACCTGGTGATCTTGATGCAGGTTCATCGGAGAAGTGGTGTGAGGTGGGTGGGTGGGGTGCAAGCGAGAAAAGCTTCAGTCACCGCTGCCATTGAGGTTTGAAACTGGTGTTTTGGAACAAAAAGGTGACTCCCCTCACGTGGAACGATACTGAAGCGACGACCTTGTGACATGTTCCCTGAGGCTTTGCATAAACAATGACATAAAACAAAACGAAACACGCTAAACCTTACACCCTGAACCCTGTATGGTCTAAACCCTAAACCCTAAACCCTAAACCCCTAAACCCCTAAACCCCTCAACCCCTAAACCCTAAACTCCTAAACCCCTAAACCCCTAAACCCTAAACCCTAAACGGCCAAGATGCACTCCGGCCCTCCTCCGCGAGCGCCCCGGCATGCGCGGGCGGCTTCGACGGAGGGGTCCCGGGGGACTGCATTGGCGGCGGAGCTCAAGGCGTGAGCGTGGTGAAGGTTTGGCAATAGTTAAGATAACAAAGTGTATTTACATAGGGTTTAGGGTTTAAGGTTTAGGGTTTAGGGTTTATAATTGACAAAAGTATGGTGTTCAGGGTTTTGGGTGTTTCGTGTGTGCGCGCTAAGGCTTCAGGAGGGCTCCAGGGTCTTAAGGGCTCATGGTTTTATAATGCTAGCCGGAAACCCTAAACCCTAAACCCTAAAGCCCTAAAAGGGCTCAACACTTAGGGTTTATTATCGGGCCTGCGGGGCTTCCTTACACGTGAAATCATATACCCACGCCTGGGCCAAAAAGCAACGGCACTGCATGTGGACCCGCAAAGCCTGGGCAAACCTCAAACCTACGCTCCAAAAGCCAGAGCGGTTTCTTTGGGAGCCCTTGCATTCCGGGGGGTAAGACTGGCGTACGAGGCGTACGAGTAAACCCCCCCGGTTCTTAGTAGGGAATGGGGGAATGAGGTACCCTATATAATCCCTTAAAGGGTATCTATTAGTGCCCTACTTAGAACCAGCCAGTAAACAAGAGAAGGTTTCCATGACTTGGGGGGGGATGTTTGCCTTCCCAAGAGCTGTGCGGTCTTCTCTAGCTAAGTGCGAGAAGTTACAGAGCCTAATCAACCATACGGAGAAGTCAATTCCATCTCACTTACACAAGCCCCTTATGTTGAAGTGGATGTCTAACACACGCGCACGCACACACACACACACACACACACACACAGAGACAATCCCTGAAAGGGAATACGGGTATAGCTGGACAGTCTGGACGTCTGCATTCGGGTTTCGGGTGCAGCTCAGGATACGGGGACATAGGGTTTAGGATTCAGGCTCTTAGAACATAAGGGCATAGGGTTGAGGTTTTACCAAACCCAGGCCATGAATTGTTGCCGTCCAATTCTCAGTCTGGAGCAGCAGCATGTGGTGGCGCCAGTCTTGTGCCCGCAAGCTTCCGGGCTGTGCAGAAAAACGCAGGGCATGCTGCGCAAGGACCCCTGCTTTGAGAGGCCAGCTGACCCTGTCAACCCTAAACCCTAAACCCCTTACGTAACCCTAAACCCTAAACCCTAAACCCTAAACCCTAAACCCTAAACCCCTTACGTAACCCTAAACCCTAAACCCCTTACGTAACCCTAAACCTACTCCGTTTCACCGCACCGACCAGCCCAATCATAACCTGCCAATGGCTCTAAGTCGTCCTAACCTTTGCTGCCACACTTGTTGAAAAGCCGAAACCTACCCGAAAACCTTGATCGAAGCCTGAACCAAACCCTGAACCCAAGAACCCAAAAGTTTACACCCCAAACCCTTAAGGACCCAAACCCCAAACTCAAAAGTTTGCAGAAGCGAAGCCTGATTGCCGTGCATACCTATGCGCCCTAAACCCTGCGCCCTAAACCCTAAACCCTCAACCCTAAACTCTAAACCCTAAACCCTAAACCCCAAACCCGAAACCCTACATCTCAACTCCCTCCCTAACGAGGCTGCTCAGGTAAGGCACCTGTAGTCTATCTTCCCGCATGGCCTCATGAGGCGATAGGGTTTAGGGTTTTGGGTTTAGGGCTTAGGGTTTAGATCCTCGACCCTGCAACCCCCCCCCACCCCCCCTGGCGAGGTGCTAGGCTTGGACCTAAAGGCCCTCAGCCAGGCCCAGACCGAAGATGCGATAAAGGCGAACTGAAACCCTCATGTTTCGGCTTCAGGGCATATTCGGGGGGGTGGGGGGGGGGTGGGGCGGGGGGTTGACTGGTACAAACCGATCCCACAAATCACGAAATCCCCTAAACCCCCCAACATGCCAGGACTATACCTTGAAGCCTAAAGTCTGGGCCCTACTCTGCCAGCAGGTTGCTCCACAGCCTGCAAAGGTGAATTCCCTTTGTTGCGTAAGTCGGGCCACGGTTTAAACCCTAAACCCTAAACCCGTTTAAGGGGGGGTTCAAGGCCTAAACCCTACCGAGTCCCTCCCACAAAACTTCCGAGTTACATCCACGAGGAGGCCGGAGAGAAACGTCGCGACGAACACGAGGAGTCCTGACAGTTTAGGGTTTAGGGTTTAGGGTTTAGGGTTTAGGGTTTAGGGTTTAGGGTTTAGGCTTTAGGGTTTAGGGTTTAGGGACAACTCTGCCAAGGATCTTGAGGACCGGTGAGGCTTACACGACTCGGGTTGCTGTGAATTCGGTTGAGGGTTTAAAAAAGGGTTTAGGGTTTAGGGTTTAGGGTTTAGGGTTTAGGGGTTTAGGGTAGAGCTCAGGGGTACTGCGGGCTTCGGTCTATGTAGGACCAAGGTTAAAGGTAAGGTTCAGGGCTAGCGTCAGCTTGGGATCGTTCGTGTTAGGGGGATTTGGGGTTAAACGGTTCTAGCTTATAGGGTTCTGTGTCTGATAGCTATGACTGGAAGAGAGTGTCAGGGCAGTACCTGAACACCCCCTACACCCCCCAAACCCCCTAAACCTCCTAAACGCCTTAAACAAACCCCCAACCCCCCTGAACCCACTGGAACCCCTAAGCCCCTTGAACTCCGTGGACGCCCGAAGACCCCCAACCCCCTAAATCCTAAAACGCCAAAGGTTACTGAACCTATCCCGGGGTCCCTGCACCCTCAACACCCCCAAGCCTCGAGAGTTTGGGGGTTGGGGTTTAGGGTGTTTGGGGCTTAGGGTTTGCAACGAAGTTAGCCTTGAATGCGCTTCTGGTTTTTTTAGGATGACATGAAGCCTTCCAGGGTCTTTAGGGCCCTAACCCTACTTTGAAGTAGACCCTGGAAAAAAAGGTATATACGTTTTCGGTATAAGCAGCCATCGTAGGAACCCAGAACCCCAAAAAAGCATTGAAGTATAGTAGTCCAAAACCCAAGTAAGGGTCCGGGTGTAGCTGGGATCACGGATGTGCGGGGTGCCCTAAACCCTAAACCCTAAACCCGAAACCCTAAACCCTAAACCCCTAACCTTCGGGTTGATTTGATTTTGAAGGAGGCGGCGCCCTGCAGAGCTTGTCGCGCTCGACCCTACGTAAACCCTAAACCAAACCCTAAACCTTAGACCCACACCCTAAATCCCAAGCCCTAAACCTCAAACTCTAAACCCGAAACTCTAAACCCTAAACCCTAAACCCTAAACCCTATAAACCCTAAACCCTAAACCCTAAACCCTAAACCCTAAACCCTAAACCCTAAACCCTAAACCCTAAACCCTAAACCCTAAACCCTAAACCCCAAACCCTAAACCCTAAACCCTAAACCCCAACCCTAAACGCCAACCCCGAACCCTGAACTTAAACGCCAAGTGCCTGAGAGGCCCGAGATGACGACGGAGAAGAAGTTTGCTTGCCTGTAGGTCCCCCAGTGGCCAAGGTAGCCAGGGTTTAGGGTTTAGGGTTTAGGGTTTAGGGCGAGGGTTCATGCAGGGATTCTTCAGACTACAGGGTTTGGGGTATCTTCGTTGCTGAGTTCATAAGCCCCGAAAAATTGTAAACTTTCAGTTCTATAGAGGATTATAGTACCCCCCAAAAGTGTAAAGTGTGCTCACTCGGCGACTAAGGTATATAGGGCCTGGTGCTTAGAAACAGAAAAAGAAGGGTACTACTGGGCATCCGAGTTGCTTCGTCTTCATGTTTTCGATTGCGGCGATCTCCCTGCTCATCGCGTTGCTCCACCCTCAGCGCTACCCGCACCCTGAACCTTGACAAAAACGTATTTCGCATACAAGCCCCATAAACCCCACAGCCCTACACCCTTTCAGGCCTACAAGACCTAGAACCCGATAAGCCCTACAAAACCCCTCTAAGCCCTATAAGCCCCAAACCCTACCGCATTCCCTATTCCTGGTACACCTCCAAGGGCTCCACAATGATCAGGCCACGCAGCGTATGGCACTGGTCTTGACGATCTTCACGGCATCTTTCACTTGGTGGATGACAAAGTCTGGCACGTCGTCAGGGCGCGCCCTCAGTGGGCTTCGGGCGTCCGAGACCGAGGGATTTTAGGGCCCAGGCTCATGGATTCAAGGCATTCCAAGGCATCTGGGGAGTTTAGTAGGGCTTATGGGGGCTTACAGGGCCTGTAGGGCTTTGGGGTTTCTGTGGCTTGTCTGTTCTCTTGGAGTTCAAATGCACTGTGAATCCGGGAGGATGAACCTGGAAATGCAGTGGCACCACTGGCGCAGTGCGTCTTCCTCATGATGCTCTCTAGCCCTTGTCCCCACTGTCCACACCTACGCATCTGAGGGTAGATACACGGTCCCGTCATATGGGCCCTTATTTCGGGACACTAAATTTACCCCCTACAAACGCGATAACCCTATGAAACGCAAGGGCCCGTACTTCAGAACCCCTTTAAAGAAGGTAAGGGATCATGTTAAGAGACCATGTAACTACCCTCAGAACACCCGCGACGGTATGAAGTCCCATCTAAGGAACCCCGATTATAGACCCCAAATAGTAGGATTTCCTTACAATAAGGACCCTAATAAGGTACCCCTTAAACCCTAAACCCTAAACCCTAAACCCTAAACCCTAAACCCCTAATTCCGAAGACCCCCCCCATGTGATCCATGGACTTGAGGATCACAGCGCGCTAAGGCGCGAACACGTCCTGAAAAGTCATGGCCACCTCAGAGAGCAGGACCCCCAGACTAATGTAGGGGCCGTAATAGTTAGAATAGGGTTTAGGGTTTAGGGTTTAGGGTTTAGGGTTTAGGGTTTAGGGTTTAGAATTAGGGTTTAGGGTTTAGGGTTTAGGGTTTTGGGACCCACAGACTAATATAGCGGCCGTGATAGCGGCAATTATTCCGACCCCAGACTACCTGTTGTTGCAGGCAATACCCCCAAAATTGGACGGTTGGAGCCTAGTGAAGTTACTCGCATGGCCTGAACGCCCTCTAAAGAACATACATATATATATATGCATTCCTGAATATGATCCTCTTAAACCCAATCATGGAAAAACCTGCAGTGTCCCAAGGGCCTA